ATATGGTCATCCTTTATGAAAAATTTGGATCGTCTTTCTAAGTACTCATGAGATCCAAGTTGTGCATATGACTATAAAACACTTTGTTAGTATCACAAAATTTCATAAAATCAAGAATATAATCTGTGTTGTGTCTCAACTTATGTTTTATTCCGTTCAAGAATACTTCACTTTGGGGATGTTTGTTATTGTCTCATTTCATTGCGTGTTAATTCAGATCGAAAGATATTGACACTTTTTTAGGATAAAAAAAGTAACATATATTGGGTCCATGCTGACATGAACTTGTATATAAATTACTATTCATCAATTTCTTTTAAGGGGAACTTACATAAATGTCACTAGTTTAGAAACAGTTTGCAATATTACGTATCTTACTAAATTTTATTGTGTCAAGAAAATGTATCTCAGGATATATACATGCATAGGGTCAAAATTAGGTGTAATTTGTTCTAAATACATCGTATCCAAGTAGATTCATATGTATTTGGGATACATACAAATCTCACTCACCACTCTCCCATCTCTCTCACCACTCTCCTTTGTATTTGGTATCCCAGAAACATGCGAATCACACAAGATAAATATAGATACATATGTATCTAGTATGTATCTACTTATGTGATTCGCATGTACTTAGGATACATAATGAATATTGCTCGCTTCTCTCCCTATTTTAGTGTATCTAATAGTAGAAATACATGTATCTAAGTATATCTTCCTCAATATATGATAGAAAATCCTTAATTAGTGATAATATACGTAATATATATGTATGTAGTCTAATTACGTAGTTTTTCTATCTTTTAATGGATATTTCTTCGTATGAATATTCCTCCTCTTGCAAGAATTATACCTAAGGATTAGTATTTATATCAAAGCAACGAAATAGTAGCGGTGCTCTTTTGCCGGCAACACAAATATATTTTATAATTAAAAAAAGGAAACAAAATCTATTTTATAAACAATAAGCAGGTTAGACCAAAATCTTAATTTTTATTGGTGGAGAAATCAATGGATTGATATATAATCTATTTAAACAAGGACATTAGAATTAAACTCAATTTGTAACACAAAAGACATGGAAGACACACACACACACACACATATATGTGTGTGTGTGTTCAATTTTGAGAATTAGAATGTTAACCACATTCCTTATAATTGTAATTTGTAATCTTGGGGTTTAATTGTTTAGCAACAAGAGATTTTCCAAGTGCTAAATTATTGGGCTATATATGCAATGGTGGTATATATGACAAAAATGGCCCATTTGCAGAAAGTTTATATTATGTTCTTGTAACATTAAAGAATGAGACACCAAATCAAGGTTATGATTACTATGTAACAATGGCCATGCTACTTGCAGCTCAAATATAGCATCTTCAGATAATTGTGCTATTTGTGTAAGTCTTGCTAGAGCATACTTGATGACTACTTGTGATGGAAGGATTGGAGGTCAAGTCAAATTAGCTGGTTGCTCTATGAGGTACGAACAATACTCGTTCAATCAAATCTTACTGTTACACGATCCACTCAGATTCAATTCTTTGTTGCTCAATAATCCTAGCTTTGTCTCTTTTCATGCATCACTCTTCTATTATGGATGTTGTTTTATTGTTGTAATGGTGTTGTTGAGTTCAATTTCATGGTTGATATTTGATTTCCTTAATGTGATTTTGTAATGTTTATTAAGTTGCAAAATATGTGTCATAGCTTGGGTTATGATAGATATTATGCCTATAACGGAGGATGGGCCAATGAGGGCGAGTCACAGAGAAGAATATAACAAGCTTCTAAAGAAAGGGTGAACATGATATCTTAGACGAATCTCACATCAGAATATAAGAAGAAAGTAAAATGTTTTATAACGCATAACACAAGTTCACATGATACATGCGCTTTTAAGCCTGATAATAGCGTACCCCAAAGAACAAATATGTGAAGTCTATTGCACCAAAATGAACAATACGTGTATGAGCTTGGGTCAAAACAAAAACTCCCAAAACATTTCACATATCATACTATGAAATTCATATTTGTGATTATATGTACATGCTATAGCTTTCATAAAGTTCACAAACATGTACTATCTGCAAATAGAAAGTTTACTACTTCCGTTATTTCAATTTGTTTGCCCTATTTTGACCTGATACATAATTTAGAAAGGTAGAGAAGATTTTTGAATCTCATGGTTTTAAACATGTCATTTGAAAAGTTAAAATTTAAAGAGCAGCTAAAAAAGAAGAATGAAATAGACATTTATTTTCAAACAGATTCAAAAGGAAAGTAAGAAAAAAAAATTGAAATTGAGAAAGTAAATAACATTAATAGTACTTATTTCATGCAAAAGCTTAATTAAAGACAATTAAAATTTGAAGACCACCAGAAAATAGGGCAATCCATGCAAAAACTTGATTTATGAAACCGCCCGGCTACTAATTGTTGGGAAAATGATGAAATATCCTCAAGGACAGTGTCTGACACGCCTTAAGCTTTGGTAAATTCCATAAAAAATTTCACGATAAAGATATTTTCTGTAAGATTTCGAACAGTAAATAACCACCAACCTAATCATAGTAGTTGGTTTGTGAAGATTTTTGTACAATTAATATTACCCAAACCCATAGTAGATAAGCCAAAAACACACTAAAGGACCACAAAACACTATGAATCATTAGATGTTGATTCAATTACCATTGTACAAGTTACACTCGAATATGCTCAAAGTTCCTAAAAAAAAGATTCGTACATTCGCATAATCCCATAAATTTATGCCACTTTTTTCCTTCCATATGAGCCAATTCTTCATCTTTCTACCTAAGGGGGTGGACATGACGCCCATGGCCATGATGGTGAGTGGGCTGACGAGGGTGGGTCACTGAGAAGGATTGACGTATAACAATTCACTATTACTAGGAAATATGGAATTAACTGTAAAATTTGTTGGTAATTTCTAGCTAATCTGTTGTTTAATAGCATCCAGATAATTGAATTGTCTTATAATCCATAGCAAAATAGGATTAACATAAATTTTTTGTTGCTTAACTATAATTTTTTTTTATCTATCACTAATTTCTTATTTTTCAGTAGTTCACTATAAAAGTCAAAAGTCGCAAATAGTCAATTTTCACTCATTGTAGTTAAAAATTAACTGTTTGGACATACAAATTTTTTTATTTTGTGTGTGTTTTTCAACTTTTTTTTTTCTTTAAGTAATTGTTTGATCATATATTGCAATCAATTTTCTTCTAAATTTGTTCCCTCACAAGGCTTTAGCATTTGCCAAACGAAATGTATGCTCAAACATAACTTTGGGTCTGTTTGGAAAGTCACTTGGTAATTGGAATTGGTGTAATTACTAGGGTAGTAATTACCAGCCTAGTAATTACACTGTCTAGTAATTACACTGATCTGTTTGGTTGCCACAGTGTAATTACACTGTAATTACATTTGTCATGTTTGGATGCCATAGTGTAATTACACATGTTTTGTTTGGATGCATAATTGCAATCATAAAATTATAATAAATTTTAAAAATAAAAAAAATTATTTAAAATTTATACTAAACAAATAAGAAACTTTATAAATGACATTAAATTAAATATTTAAGATATATATTCTTTTTTGAAAATATATTAATTAATAAACATATTTTCT